TGCCTTGTAACGAACGAAATCTGGCCGATACGTGCTGGTGACAGAAAACTTCACTTTGTGTGCCTGCGCCTCGTATACAACGTTATATGTATTTAAAGCTTGCAGAACAATTTGGTTGGCATTGCCTTTTCAGCGTAAAAAAATACACGGTGTGGCGTGTGAGCGTGTGAACTGATTGAATGGGCTATATGCACGCATAAATTCCGCATTTGACGCAAGGCTCGTCAGTTTCCGGTTGGGGAGATTAAAGCGGTTGAAAACCGAGGAAAATGGGATTATGGTCTTCAAAATTTACTCTCCTCCTGTCTTTGAAACGAATCTTTCATAAGTTTAGATGTAATATATAGTTTTGTTTATTTAATATAATTTTTAAAAGAAGCATAAACACAACGAGGGGTGTCTGTTTAGTCTGTTTTTGTGACTTATGTTTTTTTTACTATAACCATAGTAGAGTATAAGAGTACAGAGTATAAAATTCAATATAAATTCTCGGTATTGCATTCCGACTCTACGATCGGTGGAAGTTATCGAGCATCCTTAGACCTTCACCGGAAATACCGCCATGCATAGAGCCCATTGTGTGTGTCTCACAGCCAATGCGTGAATGCAACCCTGATCCCAGATTACACCCACAGTGCCTAATTACCTTGTTTAACTCGCCCTATAACAGCCTGGTTTTCACATTAACTCCTGGCAAAGTCTTGTTGTGATACACTGCAATTCCGAGCATTCTCCTCCTGTTTTATATCTGTTCCGTGGATTACTCTTTTGCCTGTGTTCGCTGCCTTGTTGTGTTTGTTTGCATAGACTGTCTGCCTGCCTGTTTGACCTTTGTGTCTCAGAGTAGTTCGAAACAATAGCTAAGCGAGTGCCCGATGAGTGCCCGATTCGCAGCTCTACAACGCCCCACAGCTTTCCAATGTAAATATGTGGTGAAAAATGGAATTGCAGCGCCAATTGAGAACCATTGGTGCAGATATTAGAATGCACCACTTATTTTCACATTACCTCGAGTAAACCTTGCTCCAGACCAAGACAATATCCATTTGAGCTTTGTATATTAGTCTGCATTAGTATCAACAGTAGTTGGCATGTCTGTTCTTCTTTGTGGAGTAGAGTATCTAGCTAATGAAAATATAAATCCTGTTTAAACACTCTTAAGTGAATAGCCTTTATATTAGCCTGTGTCCTGTTTGTTTTGTTTGTTCGTAGAATAGACCTTATTCAGAGCATGACATATATGAAAGAGATGCTGTGGGGATATACTCACTGGGTTTTCGATGGCATCCGCTGTTAAAAGCTCTTTAAAGCTCCTAGATCACTTATAATTTTCCACGGCTCATGTTGCCTGTTGTTTTGTCTATTATTTATTTATTTATTTTTTGCAGTGTTACGTTAGCAGAACAATCTAAAAAAATAAAAAATAATAACATGGTTAGTTGGATTGCGTGGTTTACTATTGCTGTGCTATTATGTGTGTGACAGGTTTTCCCGTACTCATGCCCGTAAACGTCATGACTAGTGAAGACAATCTCCTGAACTCCAAACTGAATGTTAGAATAGGAAAGAAAGGTGATTTAAGCAATTTTGAGCGTGGCATGGTTGTTGGTGCCAGACAGGCCGGTCTGAGTATTTCACAATCTCATCAGTTACTGGGATTTTCACGCACAACCATTTGTAGGGTTTACAAAAACTCATCGGGCACTCTATGCCCTATATACTAGCATTATACTAGCGTTATAGGCTAAACTGTTTTTAGAGATAAAACTATTTACATTCGGCAATCATGAAAACAAATCTCAGATAACGGTTGACTAGGTAACAATGTGTAATTAGACCAAAGGTTCATTTTGCGCCGGAGTTGTCCTTTAAGGCAGTTCTGAAGGTGAAAGGGGGTCAAACAGTATTATGGTGTTCCTAATAATCCTTTAGGTGATCCTTTAGCCATACATTAAAGTTCTTGTTGTATGAGTCCTACTCTTCCTGTTGAAGATAACTCACCAAAAGAGGGCAGCAGAATTTCATGTTGAAGTGATAGTGAACGGACAAAAAGAGGGGGTCAAGACAGACTCTTAAACTTTTCTGAGACCAAGGATTTGAACTTTTGCATTTGAGTGATATAATGTCCCTTTACTCTACATACACAATTTTGCTCCAATACTATTTCAATTTAGGACCGCTCACCCCAAGCAATAGGATTTTTGTCTCAATAAAAGGGTATGCAAAAGCTCAAGGGTAAAACAAATCTTAATTTGGTGTACTTCACCCTAGGCTGTTCTGGACCATCTGTGAATTCAGTATGCTGTGAAATGGTTTAGATGACAGGGCATCTGCGAAATGATGAGGGAAATCTCAAATCTAAAGCACTTGGGAGACATTCTCAAATATTTCCACCTATCAAGTGAGCAAAAACTTTCCAGTTTCAGTGATGTGTGGGGAAAGTATTTTTTTTTTCCAATTATTATTATTCTCGTCATCTATATTATTGCTGTTTGAGAGATACTTGCCAGGTATGCAGAAGTAAAGGCACATCATATATTTTAATAAACACAAACACAGGCATGATAAATACTTTCGTCAGAGTAAGAGGTGAATAATACATTGAGTATGAATATTACTGTACATGAATATGTGAGACATTAAACATACTGTACATAGACAACATTTTACAACTTTACATTGTCCGTAGCAGCTTAATATACATTCAAAAATAAGACACCTGTCTTTCTCACATACAAACATCAGAGAGAGGAGAAACCGATCAAATACACATGAACTCTGATCGACCACAGGCCTTTTCAGACACACAGGGAGGAATTCAGAGTTTAAGCGCACCTGCTGATAGCAGCTTCTTTTGCGCACACTGCCTGTCTTTTTTTTTGTTTTGGTTGCATTTTTGGAAGCCCATTTTTGACACAAGGGGAAAAAATATGCTTTGGTAAATCATAATTATGACAAAAAATATGGTAACACTTTATTTTGATGGTCCTCTAAAATACATTATATTAACTACAGTATAAGTAACTTTGCAAGTGCATACACAATTACTCTATCTCTAACCCTACCAGTCTATTAATACTAAAAATGAGAGTAAGAAGTCACTTATAGTCAACAGAATATGTTAAAGGAACCATCAAAATAAACTGAAACCAAAATAATATAATATGTCATATTTGTTACTTAAAAAGTGTATGTGATGAAAAGTCAGAATTATGATATAAATAGTCAAAATGAAAAAAAAAAATTCAATATTAGGAAATAATAGGTACATCTTTAACAGAAAAAGTCCAATTAATTCAAATGATTTCTTGAGATAATTTTGACTGTCATAATTGTAACTTAATTTGCCATAATTTAAAGCTTTTTTATATCAGATTAGACTTCATCTCAAATGTAACTCATAATTAAACATTTTTGTCATTACTATTTATCCCATAATTTAGACTTTATCTAATTTTATAAAATAATAGGTACATCTTTTACAAAAAAAAGTCCAATTAAGGCAAATGATTTCTTGAGATAATTTTGACTGTCATAATTATAACTTAGTTTGCCATAATTTAAAGCTTTTTTATACCAGATTAGACTTCATCTCAAATGTAACTCATAATTAAACATTTTTGTCATAACTATTTATCCCATAATTTAGACTTTATCTAATTTTTTATCTCATAATAATAATGATTTCAATATGTTTTTACCAAAAGCATGATTTACAAAAAGTACCTGGTACATTTCCATATGTTTCAGCTACTGACTCACTAAAGGAATTATGTAAATGAAGTAACAGTGCAAACAAAATTTGTCCTGCGATGTGCATTCAGTGAGAGAATGTACACACACATCTCTCGAAATGACAATTAAATTGAGTTTGCTGTCATTCCGGGAGGTTAATTGCGATAGGCAAATATTGGTGAGATTCGTGAATGACGCACACTGCTAAATGAGCCGAATTTGCATATACGTAAAAGGAGAATGTTTGCACTAAAAATAATGGCAATCACCTGGTTAGGGAATGCGACACAAGTTTCGCACCAAAACACTGCAATTGAATTTGTCCCCATTCCTTAAAAAGCCGCTTCATCTTCCAGCAGCTTCTAGGTTTCCTTAAACACAGGTTTTGTATTGTTCCATCATAACTACACGAAAACAAAAAAGAAAACATTTGTTCTGATCAACGTTAAAGCCAAATGAGATAACACTAAAGGACTCTTTTGCCTTGTTTTGTGCTTTAGTAACACTAATCTCAATGTGTTCAACAACGTCCTTACATAAGGACTTGTGCCTCAGGACAAATTAAACTCATCCTTCATTTTAACCAACATAATTAGCATCGGGAGTGGTTGGAATACAAACACTTACGAGCCATCACTCAGAGAGCTATTTGTTTAAGCCGACATGATTTTTGGAGGTAATTTCCCAAGTTGATTGTTTTTGGAGGCAGGCCAGGGTGAGAGAACGAGGCGCTCGCGGAATGAGCGATCCAAGACCACACAAGAAAGAAAATCACTCGGATTTATCTTACAAGGGGCTCTGATCTGAATAACAGCTAAGTTAATCTGTAAATTTCTTTAACCGCCCTTTATTCCTGATGTGGCTCGCTTTGCTCTCTGTCCTGCAGAGGTGCACTTTTCATGTTCAATGCATCTTTGCAGCATTGCACGCAATCACACACACGCTCCATTCAATGAACGTAAAAAATATTCCACTCGTTCTTGTGTTAAACAACAATACACTGACACAATGTGCATTTGGAGTTAATGCTGATATATTTACAAATATATAAAACCACCCAATGAGCACACATTACGGCACTGGGATGGAGGAGGCCACTGTCCCCTAACATCTTATAAAGGTCTATGAGACCTACAAAAAGAACTGGGAGTGATTACCTCACTCCCATGACCACAGTATTTACAACACACATTTTCAAATCCTCCTCTGAATTCCGCTCTAAACCAAACATAGTGTATGGGAACCTCGGATGCTGATATGTTATGACAAGTGCGATTTTTTTTTTTTTTTTTTTTTGCTGCATGTCATTACAAGCAGGTCATGTCATCTTTGTTCAGGCGTGTGGACGAAATATCAACAGTGGAAATGGATGGAACACCTTTGACTATATAAACACCAACGTTGAAGAAATGACGATCTGTAACGGTGACATGAGGAGGTGTTATTGAAGGACACAGTGACCTCTTCTCATGTGTGTTTTCAAGTATTATCAGGAGCATAAACGTTAAAAAAAGCCTTCTGTGTATACTTTTACCCATAAGATATTCTACATTTAGTCTGCACACGCTATGCTAACAGCTAACAGCTAATACTTTATCGGGGGGGCTTTTTGAATGACACCGTTAATGAGGGTTTTTATATCAACAAGTACTTATAATCATAACAGCCCTCTTTCTCGATGAGGAGTGGCCCGAAATATGTAGCGGGTACGTCGGTCAACTTTGAGCTCTTTTAAACGAGGGAACGGCTGATTCCTGTTGGGACCTCAAAAGTTTGGATCCATATTTCAAGTCCTGGTCTGAATCCAGACTCAAACGTTGGTTAGGTCTCTAAATCCAATATCCCAACTGAAGTCCAGATACTTAGTTTGATGGGCAATGTGTGGGTTGCACATACATATGAATGCTTTGTAGCACACTGCAGCATGATTTCTCTTTGAGGACTTGAGGTTTTTGGTTGGATGCCAGGAATTGAGTTTCATTCTTGAAACAGATTCTGCTACTTGTCCGCACTTTGGTCCAGTAGTCTTTATCTTTCCGTATGGCTAGTTGCGAATTTAGCCTTTAGAGACTCTGCTCTGCGGTTCTGGCATTATTAGGTGTTTTAGCTCAGTTTTAGCTTTTTGAGTAGTTTCTGAATATATGTTTCATGGCCAAGCTGGGAAAGTTCTCAAGAATTTTTTTCAACAATAGATGTTCAGATGATCCTTAAATCAAGAAATAAACTGTCGGATTTATGCAGATTCTGTATTTCGTTCTTATATATTAGATCGTATGTCCGATCCTGCTTGTGTGGTCTTAAAATGTTCTTCATCAGTTGTTTAGTTCTGAGTTTGGATAATTTTTGAACACTTTATGAATCCACCCTGTATAGAAGGCCACATTCACGAAAATGGCCGGTCGGTTGTGTCGGGCACATCCTCTGCCGTTTATGCTCACTCCAACAATGACTTTACTGTTACTCTCTTGGCATACTAGAGGGCCGCCATAGTCTTTCTGTGAGCATGAAAGAAAAGCAATAGGACAAAAATGAATATCTAGAAACACATCCAAAGTGTAACAAAGGTAGAAGATGGAAGCAATTTAGATAAAATGCACTGTAAAAAAAAATATTTTCAAGATTTGTTAATCACAACATTTTTTCTTTTGTCAAATCAACTTAAATAATTTATTTAGTTCAGATAACTTATTATTTTGAGTTTCTGATGATTAAATCAATCTCCTTCATTGTATTAACTTACTTTTTCCAGTTCAATCAACTTAATATTTTAAGGCAACCAGGTTACTTAATTTTTTAAGTTAAACAAACAATATTTTTTTACAGTGTGTCTAAGACATACTCTACTGATCAAAAGTTTGGGGTCGGTAATATTTTAAAATGTTTTAGAAAGAATACTCTTATGCTCAGCAAGGCTGCATTAATTTATTAAAAATACAGTAAAATAGTAATATTGTGAAATATTATTAAAATTTAAAAGAACGGTTTGAATTGAAATGTAGAATTGTAGAAAATGTAGAAATTATTACTCCAGCCTTCAGTGTCCCATGATCCTTCAGAAATAATTCTAATACCCTGATTTTGTGCTCAAGAAACATTTCTTATTATAATCAATGTTGTACTGCACAAAACAGTTGTACTGTATACTATTTTGTGGAAACCATGCAATTTTCAGGATTATTTTAGGAATAGAAAGTTCAGAACATGTATTTGAAACAGAATTGTAGAAGTTTTTGCTGTCACTTTTGACCAATTTAATGCATCCTTTCTAAATATTGGCAATACTTTATTTAAAAAACAAAAAAAAAAACTTACAGACGCCAAACTTTTGAGCAGTCTATTCTGCAGAGTAAGTTTTATGAATAAACTCACCTCACACACTCCTTCATCCCTTCTGCCACCAGCACACAGTTTAGAACTAGTTATCGGAAGAGTCCCTTTGTGAAGCTGCTGGCATCGTTCGTTGCTCACTATAGGCAGATGAACCCTTTTCAATGTCCCCTCATGTCCAGTGCCTAAAAAAGACAGAAAAGCATCTATTAGATAAGCTACAGAATGCAAGTTTTCTCACTTGGCATGTTTGCTTGCTTGAATATGGATATGTGCCTTCAATCGCCCTGCTTTCATTCTGTTACTGTACATGTAGCTCCAAACTGCAAATCACTTCCAAAATGCTTTCATCATCAACGTGAATACTTTTGGATGCTGTTTAATATTGTTAATTATTGTTATTGCTTGGCAACAAAACTAGAACTCTGAAGAGGATGGGTTTTTTTTTTTGCTCTCATTTTAAATATTTGGAGCATTTTTGGCACTTTTTACTGGATTTTTTTTTTTTTTTTTTTATCAACTCAGTACCCATTTTTAAAATTTATTTGAGTGTTGTCCCTTACTGTGCACCCAAGTTTAGGTAATAGATTCACAACCAAACTTTGAACCAAACTTTATGGTCAACTGAAGCTGAATGTTAAAACATCAGAGACGAGAATGGCGTTGAATTGTTAGCAACAACATTTACTGAGGCTGGTGTTCTGTACCCAATTGTCTGTCTATGAGATGGGCACTGAGGCCCTGTCCCAAATGGCACCCTAAGCACTCGTGGTCTTCCTACAAGTCCACACTGTCCTGATGTAACGCCATTTTGATTGGGAAGAAGTCTGCTGTAGAGCTCGCATCAGTGCAAGCTCGGCAAAATTGTGCATCGAGGACGCATATTGTCTGCAAAGGGGGTGCTTACAAGCACCCTTCTAAAACCTAAAATGACAAATGGGACGCTCTGCGATCTCATGGACTTAACAGACATGCGCGGCAGCCACTGTAAGTCCACAAGACTGAAAATTGCAGATGAAGTGTGACACTTGGGACAGGGCCTGAGAGGTTGTTAAGTCGGAGCATGAAAGCAATGTTGTGTGCCTGCAAAGTTGTCAGGTGGTGGGGAGTCTCTGAAGACTAGTTCTTAAGTTGAACCTACCTTTGGTCTCACCCCAGCCATACACAGAGCATATGGTGTTCTCCTGAATGCTGCAATCAGCCACGGGCAGCTGAATAGTTCTGACACGCTCTCTTATAAGCGCAGGGCTGTGTGAAATAGGAAGAGAGAGGTAATTTCATCAACAACGAAGGAATAAGATCAGACGTGGAAAAGATTATTGATACACATATTGATTAATCGACAGGTCTTACCGAGTCAGTCGGAGAAGGGCGAGACTAGAGCCTTCGGGGCCACATATGACGTGCGAGATTCTCCTCTCCTGTCTGTGAAAGTCATTCTCACCCGATTCGTTCAAGTGGGATATACCAAGCCAAACTCTGTACTCTGATAGGTCAGGCACGCTGAGGGAAAAAGCATATGATAAAATTAGAGTTTCAAGTTTCGGGCAAAAATATTTGAATACAGTTAGTTTCTCTTTAAGGTCATATCATATATATATATATATATATATATATATGAAGAGTTCAGATGCAAAAGGCTCTAAATGCCATTTGAAATTTTCTTCTTTAATGATGATTTTTATCAAACTTGTATATTTAAGTTCAGTAATTTCACTTAAATGGCAAAGATAATTACCTATTAATTGTTATTTAAGTGAAATTACTGAACTTAAATATACAAGTTTGATAAAAATAATCATTAAAGATGAAAATTTCAAATGGCATTTAGAGGCTTTTGCATCTGAACTCTTCATATATATATATATATATATATATATAGTTTACATTTGTATGCCCATTTTCTACTATTTCTTCCGTGTTTTTAAAACTTCCCCCTTGTATGGAAGCCCATTCCCGCCACATAAGAAAAAAAAAAAAAATTGAATAAAGAGTCGAAATTAAGACTTACAAAATGTCACTATAAAAGTCTTAAACGTGGTTTTAGCTAGTAATGATGAAAATGATTAAATGAGCGGAATGGCATGGAATAGCTGAGAGCGAATGCACTCTTGAAAGGATTTTAAGCAAAACCAAGCTTTGGCGCAGGAAGAACAAAACGGATGTGGCTGCATGGTGGCAGATTTTATTGAAATCTTTTAAAGTCATAATTTCGATTTAGTAAGTCATAATTTTGACATTTCTAATGCTCAATTATTATTATTTTTTATGTTCAGAATAAGCCAGCATAAATGGTCTTTTTTGTACTTGGCAGCATGTTACAGTATATTTTCATCTACACGCAAACTGCTTTTAAAAAAGAACAAGCTAAGCTTGATTCTCCATTAAATGACCTCTATAATGAAAATTCTTTTGTGGATACGTAGATAAATGGATGTCTCAAGCCAAGAGATGCATGTTCTAAAAACATCCGCAGCTTTGATTTGTTGAGTTACATGGACGAGACAAATCCTGGAAGCCCGCTGATAATTGACCTTGTGACCCGGAGAATCCAGAGGTCACAGGCAGGGGATGACAGTGACTGTGCAGCAAGGCTGGAGATAATTACCATGACGAGAAGCACTGTCTGTCTGTCAGCACCCACTCCTCCCTGACCAGAGAACCTCCGCACCAGTGAGTGCTCCTGAAGAGACCGAGAGACACAAGACAGTGACGCATCTCCAAACATATGACTCTCTCACATTATAAAACATGACAGCGCAGGGCTTTACTTCTGAGAAGCTGTGCGAACACTGACATCATAGATAACTGCACTTTATTTGGAGGGAATTTGATCTGCCTGCAATGGGCTTTTTAAGAAAACAGAAAATTTGTATATTTATTTCATGATTTAAAGAAAGTGAATACTGTTCACTTTCATTGTAATATTACTGTAACTTATTCTAAATATATTGGAAAAACTTAAATGTATCACACATTAATAAATCAGTATATAATGCTAAAATATTAATTCTATGCTCACGTTTAATCCTTAAATTTAGGGGTTTGTTACAACATTAATATTAATGTTAATAGTGAAGATTAATAGTGTACTGCTATTTTTAGTTGTTTCTTTCTTTCTTTGATGCCATATCAACAGCATCAATGACAGTATCTATTGTCATCATGATTCAACTCAGAGGAGTAGACATGAAAATAATCATAACAATTTCTTCATGAAAATTTCTTGGTTTGTTGTTACATTATATAATTTTAAGCAGGATATATATATATAAATGCTTTGTAGTGAATGAAGTCTAACAAAATCACATGCTTATTCTTTACCTTCAAAAAAAATACACATGGGTTAGTCTTGAGTTACCAATTCTTAGAACACCAGCGTGTTTGTGAATTATATTATTTCAAAATTACCTACATGTTTTGCAAATTGCTTACCCTCTCTGTATGCTGACCATCCAACTGCCTTCTTTAATCGGGACAGGCCCGCCACCGACAATTCTCACCTGCTTGTGAACAAAACATGATGTCTTTGTAACCTCATCTGTGAAGAGAAATGAAAAGACAAAATGAGCGCAGACATGGATTTGTTAGCATACAGCAAAACATACAAATGCATAAATGTGTTTATGAAATAATCTTTCTAATGTCATCTGAAACGAAAGAATATCAGCTGGAAACTTGCATAGCCCAACAACATTTGAAGGATGTGATTACCTTTTTGTGGCAGATTGTTATGTGAGGGCTCACCTAAAAAGGAAGGAAAAGGAACAGGAAGCTTATTTTTGTTCTAAGCAATGAATAGGTATGAGAAATGAAAAGATGAAATGGTCACCAGTGTGATGGCTGTTTAGAGTATAATTTGAGTGAAAGTGTGTGTGAGGTCTTTAGCACAGGTCTAGTCTTGGTCCAGCATGAGCATGTGGGACCAGTTAGACCTGCACAGCACTGAAACTTAACTTATACATGTGAGTGAGAGTGTGACAGAGACAGAGGAAGTGCTGACAGTCCGAGCCACCTGGACTTTACACTCTTTAATTAAACTGAAGCCTCTGTGGAAAGTGTGTGCGCATGTGTGGGTGAGTGATTGATGTGCCGCATGTAGATTCATAACACATGGCCTACACTCTCAATATAAGTCTGCGGTGTCAGTGATGAGAGCGCAAGTCAAAAGAAAGGCTATACGATAGAGCATACATAATGGTCAAAAATATGGTTATTGTCTGTATTGTAAAAACAACTCAATAGTCATACTTTATTAGAAACTTTACAGAAAGTTAGCAACATTGCTTAACCCTTGTGCATCCTTGTGGACATTTTTGTCCTTTTCAGTTTTGTTTTTTTGATTACTTTGCCTGTGTTAAAGCTAACTGCAAAAAACTTGGCACAGGTGTGTATTTTTATTGGAATTTTACTATTTCACCGTCATTTTCTTAAAAAAATATTTTTTTGCATTAGGTACAAAAAATACTCCCTCTCAGCCCCTTTTGGACAAAAATGTCCCCATTGAAACCCATTAAAACTGCAATTTTTAATCCCCGGTTCAGTTAACTATAAAATTATGCAATCTTTGTTAAGAGGCTTTCATTCTGATGGCAAGGCTTCAAAATTTTATTTTTTACTATTTTTTATCAGATGGTGTCATTTTTTTTAAGTTTGGCCTATAAAACAAAAGTCGCTTTATTCCTGTTTTCTAGTTCGGCATACTATAGAGCCAACTGGATAAATTATGCAACGATATTTGTGTGGGTGTGTTGGTATGGATGTCAGAGTGTGGTTAGTATGTGTGTTATAAAAAAAAAAATATGTGTGTGTGTGCGCATGTGTGTGTTTGTCAGACTGAGAGAGAAAAACTGCAAATTCATATCCAATCACTGTGAGCTCCAGAGGGGTTTTGCTGGGACCCAATGGGGAAAATATGTTACTACGCCCAAACAAACTGTTACCGAAAGCTCATTTTTTGAGATATTATCCTCAAATTTGGAACACAACCTATTTAGATTTATGGCTTTGATTTTATTGTAGTTTTGAGTTCAACCTGATTTAAAAAATATATATTTTATATAAAATATTATTTTATAAATAATTTTCATAAACTTATACCTATATAACTTTTTTTTTTGGATTTACTTATTATTATTTTTTTTACTTCAGCAATAATCTGCAAAGGGTCTTCTTTAAAATGATACCAAACTTATGTCTGTGCTCCAAAGCGTCACATTTTTATGACATTTTTGTCCTCTTTTTACCTATGTGTAACTTTTTTTAATGGATGCACAAGGTTAAACTTAAAGGGGTCATATAATGGTACATGCACTTTTACTGTACTGTAAGTTGACTGTACTGAAATGTGCGTTAGCAGTGCCTGTACACAACCATCATATAATGATAAAAATCCATCCAGTGTTTTTATTTTAATGTCCTTATATGTTTTCCCCTGCCTCAAATTAAGTCGTTCGTTTTTGTGACGTCAAAAAAACGGATGCCCTTCCCACGATTGTTGATTGACAGCAGCGTTTCAACACATCGCCGCCCTCAGCAAGCTGTCATCATAGTTCGTCATTGTTGATATGCTGGAGCAGAATGGTGTCTAAGCGATTGTGGTATTCTGTTCTTGGGTGTAATAACGAACACTGTCATTTTGATGTCCATAAATCCGAACCGCTAAAGACAAAGTGGCTGAGTTTTGTTTTCGAAGAGAGTTGCTTGCGGTTTTTGTTTCCCCACAAGCAACCTCAATGTTGTCATGTTTGCACAAATCATTTTTCACCAGACTGCTTTATAAATGAGGGTCAGTATAAAGCTGGTTTTGCTAAGAAGCTGCTCCTAAAAAAAGAATCGGTGGCAAGTTGCAACTATTTATTTTCCCTCTGCACCTCCAGAAGTGTAAAGTTTAATTAACCTTTATATTAATTGTTGCAAATCGCGAAAAAAAAAAAGTTTTTCATCACCATTAGTTGTAACGTCAATCTGTCAATGAACTAACAAATACATCAGTGTAAACATAGCGTTTGTACCTCACTTCTCTACCCTGCCAGTGCATACAAAAATAGATCAAAGTGACATTACATTAAACAACCATTTAGAAACATCCTGTTCGAGCCATAATTGTCAAACTTCTGTGTGGCCGTCATTTTGTTCCGGTTGCGACTCTGGTTCAAATTGATACGGTTGCACAGATGTGTCCTTAGACACTCCTGCTGCCATTCTTTCTCTAAAATATACCCGCAAATGTTGTCAAGGCAACACTCCATGTGCATTGTGTCAACACGCCCGCAGAACAGAGGGGCGGAGTGAGTGATGCTCATTATCATTTAAAGGCAAACGGCGTGCTGAAAACAGTTCTGTTTTTGACCAGGTAAAATTAGTGTTTTCGTACAATACTAATGAGAATTTTTAATTAAAACATTCATATTAACTTGTATAAAAATGGCATTATATGACCCCCTTAAGTACAAAACTTCCAACATCAAAATGTGTGAGCGGTTAAATGCTATGAACGAGTTCTTAAAGGGTTAGTTCACCCAAAAATGAAAATTCTGTCAGTATTTACTCACCCTCATGTTGTTCCAACCCCGTAAGACCTTCGTTCATCTTCGGAACACAAATTAAGATATTTAAGATATTAAGATCGCTTCTGCATACAGTCCATAGGCTTCTTGAGGGACTGGCTCTTGCTGTCCCCGAAAAGTCATTAAAGACATCGTTAAAATAGTACAAGTGACTTCATTGGCTCAATCTTAAGTTTATCAAACGACGAGAACACTTTTGTGCGCAAAAAACAACAAAAATAACGACTTTATTTGAACTATTCACTTCCTTCTCCATGAGCCTGTAAGTCAGTTAACGTAGTGTGATTGCGTAGAGCTACGTCACACGTAGGCTCACTATTGGCCGACGCTGGTCATGTGTGTGTGATGATGCGTGTGACGTACAATAACAGAAGCTTACGCTATTAAACTAGTAACCTGACTCGCGCAGAGGGAGAAATAAACGAATAGTTGAAATAAAGTCGTTATTTTTGTTGTTTTTTTGCGCACAAAAGTGTTCTCGTCGTTTGATAAACTTAAGATTGAGCCCCTGTAGTCACTTGGACTATTTTAACGATGTCTTTAATGACTTTTCGAGGACAGCAAGAGCCAGTCCCTCAAGAAGCCTATGGACTGTATGCAGGAGCGATCTTAATATCTTAAATATCTTAATTTGTGTTCCGAAGATGAACGAAGGTCTTACGGGGTTGGAACAACATGAGGGTGAGTAAATACTGACAGAATTTTCATTTTTGGGTGAACTAACCCTTTAACTCCATAACTACTCCAACTGATTCAGTGAACGAATACATTTCCATTTCAACTAAATGCTGTTCTTTTGAACTTTCTATTCATCAAATAATCCTAAACAATCATGTATCACTGACTATGTTTACATGCAGCCAATTTTCAGGTTATGGTCGGGTTAAGGTCACTATTCGGGTTTCTGAAACATTAGGAATAACCTGTTTACATGCGTGAGCAGAGAGAAAACATAGTGTAAAAATGGGCATAATGGGCGTAGCTGCCATTTGTAAGGTATCGATGCTGGGGTATTCTGTTGTTGGAGAATTGAATTTTTTTTCATTCTTTTTTTCCAAAATAAACCATCCTTAACATGACACTATCAACATCATCAATACAGCAAACCTATCTTTGCTGTTACTAACTTTACAGGATTTATTTACATTCCTTCCAAAGGATACAGTAACTTGGCCCGCGGGCTTTAAGAGATGTATAGTTTTTAAATTGTTCACTGGTAATGTTATATGCGCTTATACCATAAACAAGATGTTGACAATGCCCAAGTATGAGGATGAGAAAGCAATGCGGGATCAGCACTCCAAATTGCTGCAGTCAGCTGAGCTCATATGTGGATCTATGTTCTGAATGGACAATTTCTCCAAAAACGGTACCTGCCATATTTATCGAGTTTATTGCGGTACGGCATTTTCTCAGTTTTCTTGTGCTTCTGCAGTTTTGCGAGTTATTTACTTGTTATCTCTACTCTCATAATCTCTTCAAACCCACGTGTCTGACAAAGACCGATACGTGGAATTGCAATAACCCGATGTAAACGGCGCGGTTGGGACAAACTTAAGACGCAATATGCATCATTTCCGATTCTTCTTCCTGTATCCAAAGACAACAACAACAGCAGCACACGGATAATGAATAGTTCGGGGCAGATAGCGATCACCTTTATTTGCGCTTTGATGCTGGTAAAGTTACTGACCTCGCTCCAAAAGTATGCTATGCTGTGTTTCGCCTGGTCTCGCCATGTTTCTCTACTCAAAAGACCAAGATTCCTTGCGAATAGAACATGCGCAGAACACAAATCACTATGGGGATATGCCGATACACGTTTACATGACCAAAAATTCGGGTTAGAAAAGGGGTACCCCAGGTATAATATCCCGGTTTTTAAAATCCCGGATATGAGCATATTCGGGTTTTTGCCGGTGTTTACATGGCCGTTTGCGACCGGGTTATTGCTAATATCCCGGTTTTGAACGGATTATTGGCTGCATGTAAACGTAGTCATTGTTTCCACAACAATATTAAGCAACACAACTGTTTGAAACATTGATAATAAGAAGAAAAGTTGTTTGAGGCTAGCATATTAAAATGATTTCTAAATGATCATATGTCACTGAAGACTAGAGTAATGATGCTGAAAATTCAGTTTTGCCATCACTGAAATTAAATTACATTTTAAAATGTAGTAAATTTGAAAACAGTTAAGTGCAGCCTTGGTGGGAAGGTTTCTTCAAAGATTAGAAAATCTGTTAAACCGTAGATAACTAAAGAACAACTACAATCAAGTCAGCGTGTGAGTTGTGTAACTGACGGAAATATTTGTGATTTTTCACAAAGTTTTTTTTTTACTAATTGTTCAGACCCATTTTTGACACAAACTAGGTCATTATAATTAACTGATTCAAACAAATGGCTTACCTCTACATTATTATAATCAAGCCACATAAAGGTTTGCGGTCATAAATAAAAATGGTCTTGGGAGTGTGTCTGAAGTCTGATTAAAAAAATATTTAGCTTTTCAAAATTTAGTGAAGTAGAAGTAACCATTTACGTTTTTTATTGTTACTTTTGTACATTTTTAAGTTCTGCTCCAACCTCCGGTTATTGTATGATAAGGTAGACTGTTCAAAATGAGCCTAAAGCAGCATGTGTTCATCTCTTCATGTTTCAAGTAGCACTTTTAGTGAACCCAAAGGTCTCAATCAGTTTGTAATGTCAGCACAGACGTGTGTTGCTCACTCACAGGGTTTGAGAGAGCAGTAGTCCCACGGGATGGATGAGCTGTTAGTATAACACCACGGGCCATGTTTGTCCTTGTCTGGGTTTCTGCAGAAGTTCCCCGCCTGTTCAGCCGTCAGCAAGTCCACTTCTCTTTCGTTACTGAGAATGAAAACAAACCTCATCATTACAACTCGGGACATTTTCAGAACATGTGCAGGTTCAAATTAAAGTGTTAAGAGTGAAAATTAACATTACATGTCTACATATAAACATCCAAAACAGGTGCATCATTCAGTCATTTAACACTAATCAAACCGTCTATCCGGTGTTTGTAACAAGACAATACATCTAAAATCACTTAAGAAAATAGTCCAAAGAAACATCTTCCTCTTATAAGTTCATCTTAAACCCCAGCTGTGTAGAGCTCATCTCAGGAGGCAAGGTGAAGTATTTAGCTTGTCCATTACTCATGACATGTTTCCCTAAACTAAACAGACAGATTCAGGAAGTTTCACAGATGTAAAGATGCTACGATTCTCCAAAAGTTCACCAGAGTCCAAAGGTGATACAACGAAGAGCACAAATACACACAATACCAATGATCTTCTTGATATGTTACTCTAGGGTTTGTACAATGTAAACAATCTATGCCTAATGCCTGCCCGGCAGTGACCTTTGCAACCGGGCCGTGGTGGCTCACAGGCTGCAGGCCAAATAAAGGAGTCGATTGGCTTTGATGTTGTTATGGTGAGGAAAGGGGTCAGAGGGTGGCTCTAAAGAATCTCGTTCCAGCTGGGTTGGCCTGGCTGTAATTTTTGGGAATTGAGTCACCCCAACTGGTCCATGTTTATTATCAATTAGAGATCTTCAGAATGGGGGTCCTCCATTAAAATGTGTTTTTCTTCCTCGGAAAACTGTGAGGGTCTTATTTTTTCAACGAAGACAAACAAAACCTGACAATCCCTGCGCTTTGCATCAACGAGCTGGCGGGGGTTCTGGAAAGGCCGACCTTTGACCTGGAACTTGTTCATAAAACAGGGAAGTTATTTAACGCCACACATCTCAGGGTGAGTGTGGATGGCAGAAACAACACAGGCCTGTTGTGGAAGCAATTGTTCAACTCCTCTGAGACTTACACACACGCTCACTGAAAACTGTGCCAATTCACATTAAACACAGGCAAAACCATAACTGCATTAAAGGAAACAGACCGCACCTGGCAGGAACATAAACCATAGCTATTTAACACTCCAGTATGTCTGTAACTAAAACTGTGCATGCATATTTGATGGGTCCAGCTTGTCTGTTTACATATAAAAAGCATGAGATATTTCACATAGCATCTGTCTTGTATATGTATCACCGATTTAACGGCAACTTGCTGCGGTTGACCCTCAAGGCATCATGGGATTTTCTTTGAGATCTGCATTGGAAGTTGGACCTAGTTTGGTTTCCATGGAAACTGAGCGAATGTCCATGACTGAAACTATGCGCTGTACCACTCTAAATTATGGTTCTGCTTAATACTAGACTATACAAAATTCATAGATAAAATTGTGCGTGCTCATATCAAAAGACTATAATCAATTTCTTCTGTCTAAATCTGAGTCTGTTATTTATTCAGTTTAAAGCTGGAGGTATTTTTTTACTTACTAAAATACTTTCTCACAGATTAATATTCAGAGACAACTTTAAATATACATGTCAGCTTTAAGTTTATTTATTATCTAGACATGTATGGCCAGCTTTTACCTTTCACTGTGGTCTTTCCATGGAGTGCAGGGGATGCCTGAACGAGTTTTTGCCCTTTTGCCATTGTATGTGTCACCAATGCCAGTATAACACTCTGAAATAACAAAAAAAGAAAAATCAAGAAATGCAGACATTAAAAAAAAAAGGATTTATTGTGTGCATTTATTGTAGGCACAAAGATCTTTTGTGAAAAAGATTTTTCTGAAGAAAATGTGAAGGGTGCTTGCAATCCAAACGCTAATCATTTTCATGCAAAAAAAAAAAAACTATACATCAAATTGCTCAGAAAAGTAATATTCATGATATTAGGTTGATAAATGTTTAAAGCTCCAGTCTGGCGTTTTTCTTCTTTGTCGCCATCTCTGTTCGAAATCTGCAATTGCAGTCATTCGCGGAATTATCAACTTTCGTGAGTTGTACTTCAACACCCTCGACACGGCACAGTGCGGATGAACACAATGTTTGAGGAGAGTGTGCAGCTGTCAGTCACCACGCCGGTGTTGATTATGGCATTCAGAATCACAGATTATTCTTTTTGGAAGTATGACCAATAGAAGAATTTTCACTGGAAAATGTCATCTGTACAAATAAGAAACATCCACTTTTGTTAATTTTTCTCTTTTTTTTTCTGTAGCCACTCTAAAGTCTAAACAAAGTCTTTTGCATTATACAGCGGGTGAATCTGTTGTCACTGGTTATTGTTGTTCGAACCTTTCTGGATCCGCCATCAAATTAATACATTTAATTATATCAAGTGCTGTGAGAAAAGGCTATAAATCTCCACCTCCAACACCCTCCTTCTTTAGACTCCTTCTTTATGTGTACAGATGTGACATAATGACGCAAAAACATGCTTGAATCTCCCGCGGAAATCCAACAGTAACACTGGAATTGAAAACATTATTACAAGCTTACCGTTTTGAATGGAGCTAAGGCAAGCAGAGAGTTTTGAACACTGGCTGGTTATGTATTTTCTCAAATATGTATTTTGGATCATTTTTAACCCAAAAAAAGCTATGATATAGCTTTTGATATGGTAATAATAATAAACCAAAATACTATTTCTACTCAGAAAAGTAATAACCCATTTTTCCTCAACCGGCCACAAGTGTTTACTATTATTTATTTACTTTATAAATATATATATATATATATATATTTAAAAAAAATATATATATAAAAAATTAAACTAGATTTTATTTCTATATCTTCCTTTTTCATTTTCATTTTAGTTTATGTGCTTCTGTGATTTTGTTTAAATAATTCTATTTAGCTTAAATGCGTTTTTACTTCAGTTTTTTTGTTTAAGTAGGCTAATTTTAGTACATTAACCTAATTGGCATGGAAACATGTCTACTTTTCGTTTAAAAGGGTTTTCAAGTTTAAGTTCTTAATATAAAACTTCAATTACAGAAAACATTTAAAAAATGTATATATTTCTAGTTAAACACAGCCACCCATAGTTTTGAAGTATGGTTCATGTCCGTAGCACAAACATTGTGGGATGAGTAACAAGTTAGAATGTATTCATTTGTTTGATGCCACGGCAGCAGCTACAGTAAGACTATTTTCACGCGGAATCAGTTAAAAAATAAACCAATTAATAAACATATTTAGAAAGAGATAAAGGATTGCACAGTGAAAATTAATGTAGGTGCACTTTTATAAACCCACTAAGCTAAGCACAAGTAATAGTATTAGCAAGCACCTCAAATATAAGCACAATATGCAAAAAGTGAAAGATAAATGCAACGCAGCATGATCAAATATAGATGTTGTAATTATCCCAATGAGAGCTCTGCCTTTAATCAAACACTGTTAACCTAAAATTATGATCAAACTCTGCAAGCCAAAGCGCTTAAAGAAACACAGCAGGTTTGTGGAAACACATTGCTTATGGAAACACAGCAGGGCTCCCAGCGCACCACAAAAGTCGAGCGCTCATCCCAACGGCCTCAATTGGAACGCCAGCTAAATCGATCTTAACATCAGCGCCTTTGCGAGTCCTTCTATGAAGCATCTCCTGGGCCCTGCCAGTCACACAAAGCTGTCAGCAGTGATTAATGCTTGACTCATGCTGTCTCATTCCCACACTGCAGCTCCTGCTCCCTGCACATGTTTCAAACAACCCCCATTAGTGGCCGTGGAGATCGGACTACAGGGACCACTGTGTAGCGATGCCAAGACAGCCAAGAAAGAGCAAATGAAAGAGAGAGAAGGGGAGGGAGAAAGAGCTACGACATTCTTGAGCATCATGAAACGAAATTATATAGATATTATGTCTTGCTGGGGAGGATTAATAAGAACAAAGTCAAGGACGGTTTTTGTGGGTCGTTTTGATATGCAAAGAAGGCATGACTTCAAAAGTTATTGCCTTTTTTTTTTTTTTTTTACCCAGCCAGCGAAACAAAGTTGGAAGTATGCCACCCATAACATCATGGAAAACAAGATCAAGCCGGTAGATTATAAACATGTTTCTTAAAAAAAGCAAATAAGTGTAATAGGTTTTATGGTCACTGTCTGTAAACCCGCCTGGTGTTCTGGAATTTTCACTCTTGCATAACTAACACCAGTTAGTCACCAGTAAAGAAATACACATCTACAGAGGTGGCAAAACCAAGGTCAGACATGTCACGGTACTTCAGAAGCAATTCAAGGGTTAAATGTCTCTGGTCAAGGACACGGTGACAGTGACTGACTTGAAATTCTCTCTACCAATAAGCTACAGCGGCCACAGTGCTGTATCACAAGATGATTTTTTTTTTTAAATTAATTTCTGATTATTATTTTTTTTTTCTGAATCCCTAACCGGGATTCGGTCTATCCAATTGAGGGCAGAGTCATTTTTTTTTTCCTGGTTCGGTAAACATGCCCCATAATCACAGCCCAATGGAGCAGGCTAGATTTATGCTGATATTTTACATATACCGGTAATTATATGTATATCAATGTCCCTGTCTGAGCTCAGATTAGTCTGTAAGAATTCATGTACAATATCGTGATCCACTGCCTGACAAATATGGTTGAAAAGAACATGTTACTCTCTTAAACATTAGCTACCCAATAAGGTAATGCCCTTCCATGGTAGCTTCAATTAAAAAAAAAAAAAAAAAAAAGTAGCCCTGTGTATTTCACAAACAGTGTATTTCTCAATGCATGGAACCTGACTGTGTGTGTGTCAAACAGACACTAATTTATACAGTACATCTTTGTTTTGTACTTTGTGTTACAAACATTGCAATGATACTACCATTCAACAGGATTGTCAAGCTTTCTAATAAATATCAAACAAATATATCGTGAACGACTCTTACCTTCAGGTTCAGGGGTTGGAACTCCACAGCGAGGAATGTTCGTGCAAAACGCCACAGGTACATTGGGGTCAGTTGTGAAGCACCATGGGAGATGACGTCCATCAGGATTCCTACAGTAGTTCTCCTGGAGATCCCTGCCGTGCCGACAAGTACTTTTAATCATATGCTTATACGCCTTATTCACGGCAGCGCCATCTTTGATTTTTAATGAGAATGAAAGCGAGGCTGTGAGGGATAGACTTGCATCTATTCAATGGGCTGTACTGTTATTTAATGTGTTTTTGGATTGTTCTGCTCATGAAACACTGGAAAAATATCTTTCCAAGAAATGTCAGTTGACAAAAAAACCCTGACAATGTAAGCTGTGGAAAATTGTAAGTAATCTAGACGCTTTATTCAGCTTTTTACAGCGGATGCCATTGGATACACGGTAAGTCTATCCCTCACAGCCTCACTTTCATACCTGTCATGGCGCTGCTCTGAATAAGGTCTATACACACGCATCACACATGTTACTGTTACAGAGCATATGTTGAAGACTGCGATTGAGTTAAAAACTACAGATTTTGAAGAATTATCTGCATTTCTTGAAAATATAAACCAGTATGATGACAGACAAGAATCTGGGAGAGGAAAAATTCAGGTTTTCCTAGTGATTACAGAACCTGGCAGAAAGCCCTGCGGATACCTGGTGAAAATATTTATTTTTGGGGGATGTACAATATATCAGAACTGGTTACATACAGTTATATTATTATATAATTCAGGTTGATAATATTTATTATTTGATATTGGCTATTTAACTGTGCATGCGTCTTTAATAATATAAAATGAATACAAAAATACATAAAATGAATATAAAAATAAAATAAATTATATTCATTTTTTTTTCTTCATAATATACATTGTAATGTTTCGATGCCCAAATGTACTTGTAGAATTTAAAATTTTTGATTTTATTGTATATTTATTATTATTTATTTTGACAAAATGGCATATATAGTATATATTTTGTTTAATATGAGCTTTTATTGGTATTCAGTCAGTAATTAAAAATTATATAGTATATATAGTCTTTTAGGTAACAAGTAGAAGTCCAATATCATTGCATCCCTATGTTTATTGTATACTGAATTAGATTTTCCAGCTACAACCTTATAAAACGCATGGAAGTCCAGCCAACACATATTTGAACAATATATAAATACATAATCATGAAAAAAAAAAAAAAAAAAAATAGGAGCATTTTCTTACTTGCAACGATAATTCTGTGGAGTATAAAAGTGTCGATGGGGAAACTGGGCGTCCCATCTCTGACAGGTCACTCCTTCGGGGGTGATGCCAACCGTTCCACGATAACCCTCTCCGCGTCCACGGAAACAACTTGTTGTGTTGTCAACGTCACCACCGTTGTCTGAATCTGAGTAAACGGTGAAAAACATAAACAAAAAGACAAATGGAGTGAGAGAATGAGGCATGATGAACACTGAATCATTGATTCACCATTAACTGCTAAGACAGCGCTGCTTCAGGGAGGAATAACAACAGCTTTGTCCAGCTTAATGGAGAGAGATGCTTCCTGAATGAGTCAAAGCAGTCACTAAGTCCATGACGAATGCTACAACAGTAACCTACAGAGCTTTTTTTAGGGTAAAACGTAAGCGTTTCATGAATGATATATTGTTTTTGTTCATGTATCTCATTGCAATATATTATGCTCATTAGAGACAGAGTTATTACGTTTACCTCCAATACCCTGATAGTGCTTCAGTATGGGGAAATAGGCCACGTCCTGCTGATAAAAAGTTAAACTCTCAAATGCGTTCAATACACTGTCAGAGTTTGAAGAGTTATACAGTGGATCCCAACGTTTGTGATGTAAATCTATTCATTCAACGATAGGTTAGCATTTTTTATTGCGCTAAAGAATGCTAACTCAGGCAGTGGTGTGTAAAGTCATGAAGACAAATGCAAAGGTCAAGCAATTGGAAACAATGAGGTGCTCTGTGCCTTAAAGTCTTGCTGTGTTTACTGCAAAAGGAGCATGGCATTTTTAAAAGCATGTTTAGCTTTATAGAGTATCAAATAGTCTTACTAATGGTGATGCTCTTTCTGCAAGAGAATGAAATCCACTTTCTTGTAAAAACAGATGCGTCAGTGAGATATATGGTTTAACTCTGATTAGCTGCTTATTATGCTGAGGTGTTTGAAAAGAAGTTGCGTTCTGTCATGGTGAAAAGTGTCTCCTGGTATGATGATCTTTGAGAATCTGTCACATGATTTTGCTCAAGGTTACAATGGAGGGGTTGCCAAAACTGCTCTGAAAAACAAAAGCGACCCCCATGGTTCGGTCTGTAAGAGTTGGACGCCTGAGTTTTTGTCTCGCTTCCCACTTGAACCAACATGCCGTTGCATTGCTAATGAAAATAAACGGAGGCAGTGCAATGAGGAGGAGGGGGGTGTCATTATAATAATAGGTTTTTGGACGCTTGTGAGCTTGTGTGTTTGAGCGCGCTGGGGGTTTGAAACCCACACGCGTGTTTTGTCTTTAGCGTGGAAGGTTTACATAGCACTTGAAACTCAAGCACATTTCTCTCATGCAGATAAGGGAACACTCTACTGCGCTGATGAGGAAAAATAAACACGGAGGTACGGTCCTGAAAAGACAGGGCAAGAGCTGAGGAAAGGGAAAGAGAGAAGAGAGAGTTTTATTGGTGGACCCTCCTCTCTCTCTTCTCCCGGTTACAAACAACATTCCTGTGAGGGTCCCAAACGAGAGGGGAGTCTGGGCTACAGGAAGAGGAAGTTGTAAATTTGGCAAACTCTGCCTCTTTTCATTCTTTTTTTTGTCTTTTTTTTTGTTCTTCTCTGTTCTTCATCTTACACATAGGACTCACCGCACTGTTTGATGTTACAGTACTCCCATGGAGTGCTCGGATCGGTGGTGAAACACCAGGGTCTCTGGCGCCCGTCTGGGTTCCTGCAGTAGTTGTCCTTTAGACCTTTATCGGGGTACCTGTCATAAGAAGGGCGAAACGAACACACTTAACACGCCACATATCAACCATCCCAGTCCTCCTGCATCTTTGATTTACAGCCAGGATAAAATTCTAATAACCTCCAGAAAATACATAACATGCTCTTTGCTTCTGGTCCAGCAGGACTTAAGCCAAGCACACAAGACAGGGCCTGTTGCCCTGCACACTCTTAAAGACGCAACTGTCACAATTTAAAATTTTGACATTAAAAGTAATATTTTTTATTCAGCAAAGACATACTGTAAAAATAAAGTGACAGGAAACTATAATGATACAGAAGATTTCTATTCCAAATAAACTATGTTCTTTTGAACTTGTCACAGGGTGTTTGTGGAAAGGAGAGCGAGGTCTCAAATGCAGAGGAGAATGTTTAATGAAAAGTCGAAAATAAATCCAGAATATAACAAAACAAGTAACAGAACAAGTCAAGAATATGAACACGAGTAGACATCAAATGTAACGAACAAGCACAGGACCACAACCACAAGGAGATTAAATAGGGGAACAAACAAAGGAGGGTGACGAGCAAGACAGGTGGGACAAATTAACCAATAATCAGATAACAAGATGGGAGGGGCTAGACAATAGATAGGAGATCACATGGCACAAGGAAACACATGTCAAGCCATGTGCTCACAACAAACACCAAAACATGTCTGAGCTCTGTCATCAAACCAAGAAATAACCAGACTGAAGTGACAGAACCGTGATGACAGAACTTTCTATTCATCAAAGAAACATAAAACAATGATCACCGTTTTATAATCATTATATATTATTATCAAATAGTAGCTCATCTGTGTTCAAATGTGATAAGAAATGTTTCCTGAGTACCAAATCAGTAGCCTGGATGCCAGCCCGAACTCCGCCCACAACATTTTTTGGTCGGGAAGTTCGGTCTGGACTCGCTCCATTGAGGAGTAATTATGATCAGGCAAAAAATGATCGGGCCAATCAAATTGCCTGGGTGGGCTTTATACGATGATGGACAGATGATTTGCAGGGACGTAATCATCACGTTATCAAAGAGCGCTTGTCAAAGATGACTGCTGTTGGAGAATTGAGATGTATAGATTTCGCTGTCACGTCTTTTGTAAAATAAATCGACAGCGCATTCATTTTAATAGACATATTTAATATTTTTGGCGTCCTTCCTACGTGATTCGGGAAAAGTGTAACTTATCAGTTGGCTCTGATGGTCGTTAAGAAGATGGGACGTAATGAAAAGCCTGTGGTCAGTGTGGTTTCTCCTTTGGTGGCACTCATGGAGAAGTAAGTAAAAGAAACACTCGTTATTTAACTTCTAAAATAAATAAAGTTAGGCTACGTTCTGTATTTGAAAACTGAGCTATGCAAAGGAGTTGACTTACTGCGTTGCTCTGATTGGTTGGAGGTCTACCGACTATCCAATTGAGTTTTTTTTTTTTTTTTTCCTGGTTCGGTTACGACACGCCTCCTAATCAAAGCCCAACGGAAGAGTTTCAGACTCATGTTCTCTCTTGAATATGAGTATGACGAAGTCAGGCTACCAAATCAGCATATTAATAAATTAATTAAGATATAGCATATAAGAATGATTTCTGAAAGATCACGTGAAACTGAAAATTCAACTTTTCCTTCACAGGAATAAATTACATTTTAAAATATATTAAATAGAAAAAGGCCTTGGTGAGTGTAAGAGACCTTCAAAAAACCATCAAAAAAATCTTACTGACCACACATTTTTAAATGGTAGTGTAAATCATCCAACACTCAAAATTTAATTGTTAGGGGTGTGACGAGATCTCATGCTACGAGATCCCACAAGACTAAAATGCAACGATTTCTCATAGAAAAGCCCTCTGGCGATCTCGCCATGACAGAGCCCGAGGGTGAAATTAGCATAGACCGCTATACCGCTATATTCACATTACGCGTCCACTGGCATTTTTCTGTTTTTATACAAATAAAAACCATTACAAACTATTGTTTATATGTCTGCTCTACTCTTCCAGCAAGAGCTGCAGAGTGCACAGTCACACACACAGGGCAGCACGAATCACTGTTCACTGATCGCGTGATGGAGGATGAGTCGTAGAGCAACAGAAACGTCTGATAAATGCCTTCCTAATCTTGTAGATTGCACGCTCAGCACCGCCGCTCCCCATTCACAAAGTAAGTGTGATCGCGAATTTAATAGTGAAAGTAAAACACGAGCTGCACGCACATTAGGTTGCATACAATAGCAATCTCAATCTCGTGACTGTGCACAGTAGTTGTAGCTGGTCTCTGTTTTGGTCTCTGTTTGTACTTGAATACTAAGAGAGTACTTTTGAGTATGGTTGCACTTGCACTTAGTGTTTATACTTAATTAGACTAAGAAATCTATTTATTTTTTATTTATACAGTTTTTATTTCAATTAGGTCATTTAGGTCAATTAGGAGGTCACGCACAGCCTTTATCACAAGATCTGGAAGCTCATAATTAATGTAACGTTCTGAAGAGTCTCATGTGAAATCATACAGAAGAAAATCAAATAATTTGAGTTTGTGGAAAAAAACTTTTGGAGTGCTTGCCTTGTATATTGTTGTCTTTCAATGCATTTGATAATTCATACTCATAAAGTACAACTGCAATTAAATTCATTACAAGATTGTTAGTTAAAAACATTTCAAAATGCACCTGCAAACCATTTTTCCAGTCATGAATTTTTGATTTCTATAATATATTGTGCAAAAATCTTCTCATCTCTTTCTCGTGAACCCAATCTCGTGTCTTGTGTGTCTCGTCTCGTCTACTAGGGGTGTGAAGTGTCTCATCATACCTCTAGTAATTGTGCATGCCATTTCCAACATTTGTTTCTAATACATATATATATATATATATATATATATATATATATATGTTATTATTAAAATTGCAGACTGGCTATGTAGTCTGCCTTGTGGTGTTCAATGGGTTTTTATTATTGCTTGTACTTCTAAAACAAACAAAAAAAAGGCTCAAGACATCATAGACAATTTGGCTCTTTGGTAGGTTCACACAAAGAAGTCATTTGATTTAGTGTATCAAACGGGAGCATGGCCCAGTTCCCATGAGGTCAAGTGGGAAAAAAATTATTGATTTATCAAATATTTTTAAAAGTTCCTCACAAATGCCATTCCGGATTAGGATATCGCGAAGAGCATTTTCCATGCATGCAATCTGAGATATATATATATATATATATATATAAAAAACTTTGTGTGTTTAGAGACTCTGAAGGGAGAGTATTCAAACAAACCAAACAGACATTTATTTCAAGATTAATGATATTGTTGTTTCCCAGAACTAGTAAAGATGTAACTAGGGCACTGGGAAGGTCATAGAAAACAAAAATGGCATTTATTGGCTGAAAAGTGATGCATCAGGTAACATTGTGGTAAACCGTTTTAGCTGCTATGCTAAACAAAATAGATGTGTAATTGAGAAAAGATGTGCAGGGAACTTATTTTTGTCCAACATGAGCATGGTCCAAAGAAATTATGAAACCGTAAAGAATAATGTTTTTCAAAACAAAGTGTAATTTTTCGTGACTGCCATCACTTTAATATGCCTGCTCACATTGTGATTTCAGACAGATTAAAGTTGTTTTCCACAGTACCTTTCAATACCATGAGGTAAATGATCCACTTATGACCCCAGATTTCTTCATTATAACATTATCAACTGATATCTGATTCCTTTCTTTGAAACTTCAAAAATGATCTTACCATCAACCAAAGTTTTACAAAATCCTGAAAAACTCACCACCATGATGCTAAAGTGTGAGTGGTTGCAAGGGTGTGTTACTATAGGGATGCTAAGGTGTTCTGTGTGGTTGTTAGTGTGTTGCTAGGGAGTTCAAGGAGGGTTTATATGTCTTAATTTAAAACAGACCACCCCCAAGTCTCCATAACATTCTACATTCCTTGTGTTCCTTCGTCAATGTTAGTCTATGGATATTTTTTATCATTTAGAAAAGTAATTGCCCACCTTTTTGCAACAAACTGCATGATTTGTGGTATCACCATAATACACAAAGGGCAAACAAAAGTCGTTGTTGTTTTTTTGTTTTTTTTGCCAAATCGGCAAAGCTTGTCATATTGACTGAAAATCATGACCTGAAGACAGTCTGATTGATGTCATCCCTTACTGTTTGCAATTTCTGGTGGGTCTCATACCTTTTAGGGTGGAAAAGGTGTTTATGTGGTTCCTCAAGGTCCCAGCGCTGACACTCCCGGCCGCTCTCCGTGTGGTCCATGGGTCCACGGTAAATTTCTCCATTACACGTCATACATTCCACTATGGATAAAGAGCATTCCTGGTAAGAATGTTAACCAAGACGAGGCCCAAAAGACCCCAGCTGAGTGGTATTAGCATGCGTGTAGAGGGTAACTCAACGGGGTTTAACCCTTATTGTTATGTTGAACGGTTAGAAGAACCAAGGCAGATCTATAGTAGTAAATTAGTGCACATGTTAACTACGCATAGGCTAATCACCAACAATTAACGACTGCAGGGATTCTTATATTTATCAAGGAGACAAGCAATTACAGAGCCACGTGTGACCCTTAGACTGTCTAAAAAATAAATCATCTGATGCTTCAATTTACTAGGCAGACGTACCACCCATTAGGCCTTGCATTTATCCCCAGGGGTACGTTGCAGCTTCTAACAGATTTCATTTGATCAAAGGTTAAAGCAACATGTAATTTTTACAGTACTTTGTAAAAAGCTTAGTCACTGTAGGACCAAAACCAAATATCACAGCAGATGGAGGTCACCTCAGCTAGAGTCATCTATCTAAGTCCTGTTATTAGTTGTACAGTACACACAGCATAAGGAGCATATTGCTGTAGTAAAAACAGATGTTTTTGTCAGCCACTCTCATGAAAGCATGATTTTCCTTCTTTGTGTGCGTGTGTGTTTTTGATTACGGGAAACTAATTTATTAACAAACCCTCCCGGACATATTTCACCATGCAACTATTAAAATAGACAAGAGGCTCTCTTTGTTAGCCTGATAACTATCTCTTCAGAAAACCCCTCTTTATGCATGCAACTCGATGTGATATCCTATTAACGAAAATCCCCAGTCACTCTAACAATCGAGCGCTTTCATTCTTCTAATTTATAAAGCTTTAAATCCAATACATTAGCAATTCACATGAAAAGGGTCTTTATAAAAGGCTGAAAATCAACTAAACATCCCTCGGTTTAAACCGCAAACAAGGGGAGAGATCAATCAAAAGGATCAATCTTTTTAAATTAAAATTAGTAAAAAAGAATGGGACAAAAAGAAATCAAGAGACATTTAGAATAGATAAAAATGTGTGATTAATTGTGAATAATCGTGAGTTAACTATGACATCAATGCGATTAATCGCGATTCAGTATTTTAATCGTTTGACAGCACTAGTTTTAAAATCTCAACTGTGTGTCAAAGACAGTAAACTGAGAGTGAAGACTTTTGAAGTCTTCTGATTCACAGACTTTTATCATGAAAAAAAAAAACAGCATGCTAGAACAGCATGCTAAAAAATGCTGGTCTTGAACTCACCCTCCGAGCATTGTGGGATACTGCAGTCCTGGTGGCGTATTCTGGGGTCCGTGGTAAAGCACCAAGGACCTGTTGTGGTGTTGTCTGGGTTACGACATAAATTCTCCTCTAGATCTCGGTGCTTATGCCTCTGGGGTAAGAAACTGATGGAGTGAGGGCATAAACAGAGGTGGTGTTTATAAAATCATACACACAAGCAAAATGTCTCAACAGAAATGCAATTACAAATACAACAGAAGATCACAATAATGTATATTTACATTACTTAAAATGGCACGACTATCGTTATCTTTAACATCAGAATTTAGCTGCTATTCTACATTTCATTGTGATGCAATAACTTATATTTGGCCCAGGGGAAATTGTTACCTCTTCATTTTTTTCACATTTGGAAAAAGTACAGAGGTTTGACCTTAAAACAACAAATGCATGTAGACAAATAATGATTTTGGCAAGAAAATGAGGTAGAATAAATCTTTTGGCCAGAGAAGGTAAAAAAAAAACAGGCTACTCTTATTATGACGTTGTTGTTTTAAGAGGGTTTATTCTTGGTTATTTGAAAGCTCTTAAAGCACCATCATCACTACAAAACAACTACTGTACACACTACATTAACAGACTTTTTTGACATCCATTAATCAATTTATTCTGAAACCAAAAGTATCTAAATCCAATGAATTGGTAGTATATGGCTAGTCATGTGACATGGTGACCACCATTGTCACATAGCACAGCTTTTATTGGGCCACCATATGAATAGAATCTTCATCTACTGTGAGTGCTCATCATTTTAAACCTATTTCTCATTTCTTTAGGGGTACAACTTTATATAGAATTAAAACTCTGAGTTGTTGCTATATGCAAATAGTTGCAAAAAGTATTTTACCCTTGTCTAGCAAATATTTGTAAACCATTAATAAATCATTGCCTTAAGCCAAACGGCAATTATCTTTTGTGCAATTCGCAGCACAAATTAGCCATGTTCAAAATGATTGATGAATACAGATAAGAATGCAATCTGTGACAAATTAGCTGACCTACAGGTCTGTTCGGTATTTCAAAACGTTCAGGTCCATTGGCTTCTTGAGCCGATAAAACATGCCTGTGATGTTTCAGAGGCAAGCATATCAAAAGCTGGCTTTAAAACTGAGCTGATGTCCATTAGAGAGATAATAAAAAAAGCTGAAGGAAAAAGAGTAGAGAGAAGGAGATATCCAGTGTTGGGAAGTTGGTGGTGGAGTAAAGGTCTCTGAAAGGTAATCACATTTTCAGGATTAAAAAAAAAAAAAAAGAATTTGCATGAAACTTTAGGACATGCCTTCAACCAAAAATAGGGCAGATCTATCGTATTGACTTGCTGTACAGGTATTAAACCGAAAGCACCATGTGGTGTCCCTAATGAATTCCTGCAGCAGTAATGAACTAGTGTACTGCATTAAGTATCTTATCTTAGCTTTGTGCTGCTTTCTGTCAAACTTCTACTTAAGCCCAAACCCTCAAATCCTCTAAACATGACATCAGTTCCAGGCTGCATTTGGCTTCTTAATGTTTATTTTTAGATGTTAATGTATACAAAAATGTATATTTTGGGTAAAATTGCATTGAATGTTTACACATAGGAATAACTGTACACAAATGTCTATTTTTGGTCACGCAAGAACGGAAGCAATTGTTTGAACCCACTGGCTGTTTGTTGGCATTCCTGCCATTGACCTAATTGTCTCTATCGGAGCTCCACTTCTGAGAATCATCGAGTTGCACTTACTGTCACACTTGGACTCAGCGAGAACACTCTTGCGAATCAAAGCCATTAAGACAGCACGCATTGCACATTCATCATCATTAGAGGTTAATATGGATTTTTATAACCCATTGAGTCTGTTTTCCCATTAGCTATCTAGTAGTGTAATATGTGCATAAATAAATAAACTGAAACACACCAAGGAGAAGTTAACTGCTATCTGCTCTCCACAAGACTTTTGATAGCCTCAGAAATGCACATAGTGGGTAATTAAAGAGTTTAACTGCCCGTAGAGAGACTGAACCAAGAATGGGAAGTAAAGAGAGTGAGTAAGCACTTACTTGTGTTCATGTGGTGTTTTGGAATTCCAGAGTTGGCACTGGACTCCACTCCTGGTCACTGATCTCTTTCCTTTGTAGTTGAGTCCATTACCAATGATGCATTCTCTCATGAAGTCTATAAGACACAGGGCATACAGACACACCTCAGGTTATGCAATAATCTTTATGTTCTGGAATCAAATATCTCATTCGTTTTCTCCAGATTTTTTTTTTTTTTTTTTTGTGTGTGACATTTTTAAGACAAACTTTTTAGACAACAATAGTGAATGCTTCTGTAGTCAGGGATTTTAAAATGTAATTTTGAATTTAAAATATTTAACCAAGTCTCTTATGCTCATCAATAATGCATTTATTGGACCTAGAACAGTAAACACAGTAATACCATGAAACATTATTAAACTTTGAATTAACTGTTGTCAAATTTAATTAATTATAAAATGTAAATCATTTCGGTGATGGTAAACATGAATGTTCAGCAGCCATTATTACAGTCTTCAGTGTCACTTGAACCTTCAGAAATAATTATAATATGCTAATTTGGTGCTCAAGAAACATTTCTTATTATCATTACAGCTTAACTATGGAAGCCAATTCCGACCACAAATGAGTATTTCGAAATGATGACGTACGTAAGTCATAATTATGACATAAAAAGATGAAATTATGACTTGCTAAATCAAAATTATGACTTCAAAATCATAATGAAGTTGCTGACACCTCATGCAGCCACATCCGTTTTGTTCTACCTGCTCTAAAGCTTGTTCTTGCTTAAAATCCTCTCAAGACTGTGTTTGCTCAAAGCTATTCCATGCCATTCTGCTTATAAGGCAATAATTTGATCATTATTAGATAACACCACGTTTAAACACAGGTGAAAAATAGCATGTATGCTATAACCTGACTCATTTACAGTCTGTACAGAAATGTTAAGATCGTTCATTAATGTGCACTGTCCCGAATAATAAAAAAAAAAAAAAAAAAATAATAAAATTAACATACTCCTAATGTGTTTTCAATTCCCAATTCATCCTGTGTCAGGTGACGCCAGATCAATGAGCAGCAAGTCATAATTTTGGGCTTCCAAACATTCGATTATAAGATTAAAAAGTCGAAATTATGACATAACTAAATAAAAATTATGACTTGCTATCATTGATCTGACGTGATTATGACTTGCTGCTTATTGAACTGACATGACCCTACACAGGATGAATTGTGAACACATTAGGAGTATTTTAATTGGACAATTAATTGGAAAAGTATTTTAATTTTTGTGGAATTTAAATAAATTTTAATGATGAAATTCTTGCCTGATAAGCGGAACGGTATGGAATAGGCAAAGCAAAACTTTCCTTAAAATGATTTTAAGCAAGAACAAGGTTTGGAACGGCAAGGAATAGGCAATGCAAAACTTTGCTTAAAACGATTTTAAGCAAGAACAAGGTTTGGTGCAGAAAGAACAAAACGGATGTGGCTGCATAAGGTGCCAGCTTTCATTGAAAAACTTCTCTATGACTTTTACAGTCATCCAGATTTAGTTTAGTTTGGTTTTATGCATTATTTTTTCGTATGTGGTGGGAATGGGTTAATTAATAGTATACTTCATAGTTTTGTTGAGTGTTCAGGATTTTCAGGATTCTTTGATGAATATAAAGTTATATAAAGTTATTTGAAATAAAAATATTTTGTAAATGTCTTTACTGTTACTTTTTATCAATTTAACGCACACTTGCTGAATGAAAGTATGCATTTCTTTCAAAAAAAGGGGGAAAAAGTACATTTTGAACCAAGGTTGCTAAAAGTCTCTAAATGTAACTTTTGCACTTTATTGTCAGCAGTAATACATATAGACATGCAAAGTCAACAGAAATCCCAGCTTGATCTTTGTGTTTTGAGGAAAAAAGCTAATAACACGAGTTGATTTGATAAATGTCCAGTCTTAAAGGCAAATGTTACAGTATATACTTCAGATAATCTGCAGTATTATAAAAAGAAGAAGTGAACAGAGGACTAGAGTGAGATTTATTTTGCTGTGTCATCTTCATCATGATGGTGGATAATAGAATATGTGTGTGTTTGCCTGAGTGTGTCATCATCACATGGACACTGATCTCACATTTATTCACACTGAAACTTAATTAATCCTTAAGAGTCCAATACTTGGCTAAGGTTTAAGAACAGCTCTTCATATTATGAAACCCCTCAGTGGCAGATCATGCCAGCATAAGCTTTAACTCTAGATGTATCGGTATGGAGATTTAAATGGGTTTTAAAAATGTATCAATATATCACACATTTTGGTGAGATCATGGAGTTGATATTTTATCCTTGACTGTGTTGGCTTAGTTTAAAAAGCATTGAAACTAAAGCAATCTAAAATTGTACATTATGCTAGTGACATTAGACATTTAAAAAATAAAAATGCATAGTGAATATGATTGAATACAGTTCAGTACTTTTGAAACCAGGTTTATAAAATGAATATAGATTTTGAATTGGGAATGAAAAAGTGAAATTACCTTGCTCAGTAATATCCTATTTTGATGGTCCACTAGAGAAAGTAACTTTACAACTACATGTCAACTAACTCTCCATTAGAGAATTAGACTTCCTGGTTAATATCTGCCAACACTTTATTTTGATGGTCCTGCAACAGACGTTCTACTGACATAAGTAACTTTAAAGGAGAACTCCGGCGAACAATGAACCTTTGGTCTAATAAAACATCGGTACATAGTCAACCGTTCTCTGAGATTTGTTTTCATGATAATCGATTGTAAAGAGTTTTATCTCTAAAAACTGTTTAGCGTATAATGCTAGTACTGGGGGCATTGACTAAGTAAAAGAAATCGCTAGTTTATACCACTAATAAGGCTCAAAATAGCCCCACACTAACGCAGTAACATAATGAGGCTCCATACATGCAAAACGAAGCATTGAGAACTTTGTAAGTGTACAGACCGTTTAATAAGAAGATACTTTATGAAGACAGTTCACTTCGCGTATACAGGCAGGAGCCATCTTAAAAAATAGTCTCGATAAGTCGATCCCCGAACGACGTGCTGAGTGATCTGAGCTGTATGAAGTTCAGCGAACTTCTTAACTGTATGAACCGCTTTCGGGGATCGACTTATCGAGACTATTTTTTAAGATGGCTCCTGTCTGTATACACGAAGTGAACTGTCTTCATAAAGTATCTTCTTATTAAATGGTCTGTACACTTACAAAGTTCCCAATGCTTCGTTTTGCATGTATGGAGCCTCAGTATGTTTCTGTGTTAGTGTGGGGCTATTTTGAGCCTTGTTAGTGGTATAAACTAGCGATTTCTTTTACTTAGTCAATGCCCCCAGTACTAGCATTATACGCTAAACAGTTTTTAGAGATAAAACTCTTTACATTCGATTATCAAGAAAACAAATCCCAGAGAACGATTGACTAGGCACCGATGTTTTATTAGACCAAAGGTTCATTGTTCGCCGGAGTTCTCCTTTAAAACTACCTGTCAACATCATCTATTAACCCAAACCTAAAATTAATTCAGTGGCTTAGTAAATATCACAGTTATAATTTACGTTATTAAATAGTAGGGGTCACATAACAGACCTGTCAAGTACCGGTATCCCGTTTTGGCCGGGAAAGTCCCGTATTTTACCCTTCTTTACCGCCGTCCTCCTGTATTAGTATTTTCCTGTAAATCTCCCATATTTTAACCTACGTTATAAACAAATTATAATCACCCGGGCGGAGTAAAATAAACAAAACATTCCCAATCTGAGCTCTGTTACTAGCCTCGCGATAACTGCCTACTTGATGGCAGTTGTCGCGAGGTTAGTGTGTGAGGTCAGATGAGTGACATCAGTGAGGTCAGGTGCGTCATCTACAGTAGGTGCGACTCCGGTTCAAACTGATACGGTTGCACAGATGTGTCCTTAGACACTCCTGCAGCCATTCTTTCTCCAAAATTTACCCTCAACTGTTGTCAAGGCAACACTCCATGTGGGTTGTGTCAAAACGCCCACAGAACAGAGTGAGCGAAACTCATTATCATTTAAAGACATATACACTGAAACGCCGTGCTGAAAACAAAGCTGTTTTTGACCAGGCAAAATTGGTGTTTTCTTACAATAGGCTACTAATAAGGATTTTTAATTAAGGTATTATAAACAAACTTTTCATTTAGACCCTAAAGAATCAAAATAACTTATATACTTGAACTTAAATAATCACTGAATATCATTTACTTGATTGTTTGACTAAAAGAACTTAGTATTTGACTATCAAATGATTTATTTATAATACACTTAATATATTTGTGAAATTTCTATAAAAATATTTAAGAATGGAGAATTAAACTGATCTGTTTCAAGAACCACAAATATATTACTTAATTCAAAACAATATCATTAATATATTTAACACACTCTCTTAAGAAATTTAGTACGTTTACTCAATTAAAACAATGCACCACGCCTCCCACCCTCTGACGTGATGACAGCTCAGCGGCTGAATTCTTTCCGGTCTCCAGAACTTTCTCTTCTTCTCTTCTCAGCGTCGCAGAATTGGTGCATTTCCTCTGTGAAATTCAGGTGTGTGTCTGTTTTGTTTTATCTATAAAATCAATATTTTGCTTTAAATCATTTTATTTAATGCAAAACAACATACTGGGACGCAATGTGAGTCAGCTAAAAGAGTGTCATATGCCTTGCATAAAAAAAATCCTAAAGATAATGAATATAATAAATGTAGATGATAAAATATCCTCGGAACTGTGCACAGTTTGTTTATTGGCAGGTTATGGAGTCAGTCGCGTCACAGCATCTTTAGGCTATGAGTGAAGCGCGGGACGGCGATCTGAACCTGTAGAGTGCATGTCCATCTCAGGCACGAGAACCAGCGCTTATACGGTGGAAATTGAATAACAGACTGGTTGATTACACTTGAATTATTTTTTAAATTTTTAGTTTTTACTTCTAATATTTTTTTTTTCATTCGAGTTTAAATGTAGGCAATTGTGTATACATTTTAAAACAGTATAAAATATGCTGTATTGCTGTACTTATCGACAACCGACATCATGTATAACGTTACCTTGTTGTGTGGAGTATTTTTTACAAAGGTTTACAGGAAATTAAAAATTAAGTTAATATTACTATAAATAAAAAAAAATAATATTACTCTGTGATAAATATTGGGGGGGGGGGTGTGGGTTGTTTCACCAAAAAAAAAAAAAAAATTGTAAATCATAAAGTTTAGTGTAACAGTCTACTACAGTATAGTAATATTCTAACGAGAGTTTTGTAGTTGCATATAGTTGATATATTGTGCATTTCTATTAGAACTCTCTGGTCTTAATGATGTCAAACCTAGTGGCAATAAAGCAGTTTACCTTTCTTTTCATATAGGTCGAAGTTGAAGTCATTCTCCTTGCGGACACCAATGGTGAGGCTGTCGTATGACAGTAAATGACACTTTGCACTTTTCTGGTCAAAGCTGAATGCTCTGCGAAGAGAAATGGCATATGTTAATCATTTTACATTATGTTGAGCATATGAAAACAAGACTATGGTGATAAAAAAATTTGTTTGATTGTGAACCTTGAAATGAGACACGTAATGTCATCAGTAGATATTTTTGTCATGTGTAAAGCAATGTATAAAATCGCTGCTGTTTTTCAATTTTTGTATTTTGAAGTGATGCCTCCAAAAAAAAAAAAAAAAAAAAAAAAAATGAAAGCATTGCAAGAGCTAAATATCACATGTTATGCGAGCTTATGCAATTTCTAACTAAGAGCTGCATTTTCTTTCTATGCAGAAGTAACCAAAGGTCATCAACCTAAAACGTCAAAATAGGAAATACTGGGACTGCTGATGTTCGATTTCCAATGATTTCCAGCTGCTTCCTCTCAAACTGTGTTGTACACAATTAGCCAATCCAATGTATTTTAATGGGGGGGGGGGGGGGTGACAAAGTTGCAGCGCTGAAAGTTTAATGTAAGCAGATATCGTCTTTTAAAAATCAGGAAGTATATTGCCTACAAAAACGACTCGATTGGGACTACAGCTGGGTTTTAGACGTCAATAACCCACACATTTGCATCAACCCCTCCCTCCGGAAAATGCAAAAAAGGGCATGTGCATATTTCAGCAGCTCGTCGAGTGTGTTGTGTTCATCCAGCTGACAGGCCTTCTGTGTTCGAGTTTCCCACAGACGCTGTACTTCGTCAACAATGGATACAATTTATGTTTGATTATGTTCCTGAAAGTGTCGATCGTAAACTAGCACTCTGTGCTGCGCATTTTACGGAAGACAGCTTCCAGAATCTCCACGAGTTCAATGCCGGATTCAACACGAAACTGTTACTAAAACGTGGAGCAGTTCCAAATTTAAAACCTGAGACAGCAGTTGTTGGGCCACAACCTGTAAGTAGGCTAAGACTTAATCATTTTAAATGTATTTGCATGTATAATTCCAGACGTAGCCTTGTGTTTTATTTTTTTTTTCAAATGCCAGCGCTGGCTTTATTGCCACTAGGCTACTAGGTATGCTATGAATTTTGTATAAGTACTAATGTTGTAAATGTATTTTTCATGTATACTGTATATGTTTATGACGTTTTCGATTTGATCAAGAACGTAAACTTCCCAACGCTGTTTGAGTATAACATTAGTAGCCAGTCAGTTGCTATTGTTGCCAGTCAGATGCTATTGTGTAAAATAAACGTGTATAAAGTTAAAAAATGTAGCAAACTATCATTCAGAAACGTTTAGTGAGAGCTGTGTGGTGAGGTTCTGTTTGGCTCTCTTCATCGCGGCTTTCTCGGTCTGATTCTGCCTCAAACTGATACTGCAGTCCGACACTTATTTACATCTGGACCGGAGCTCATGACATGTTTCGCCCGTAAAGGTAATGGGCGTTAACCTTCCGGACAACATGAGTGACAGTTTAGCCAACACACCGGCCCAAACTACCAATCTGAACCCACTGCCCATTTCTGAGGGAGTGGTTTCATAGAATCAGGAAGTCGACCGGTCGTTCGAGGACAGAGGAGAGCGCGGCTGACGATAAAGGTGAAGTTTATGAAAAATAAGACTTTTAAAAAAAGAAAAAACACAAATACATGTTATATTTCACCACATAAACACAATCATGCAAAGAAAAAAAGCAGTCGAACCCCCCTTTAACACTAGAACGGCCACAACGGTCATTTTGACCGTTTTGAATTTTATATCTACAATAACTTTGTTGAAAAAAATCCTGTTGGTACCTGACTTTTCCTAAAATTGTCTGTATTTTCATTTAAAATGCTTTTCATATAAATTAAGTTACGTAAACGTAAGGCAAAACAAAAAAAATGAACATATTTACCTATTTCGGCCATAGACGGTCATATTGACCGCACTGAATTTCACAATATTTTTGTGTTAAATATCCCGCGGTTGATCTGGTCTCTCTCAACTGTCAACAGAAAGGTCCGTCCGGTCACCTCTGGTAGCGGTGTTTGCTATATAATAATTTCTATATTAGTTGTTGATCAGAAATAAGCAAATAAAACCAGACTACAGTTATCTATAAATTAATACGTTATCTATCATCAGGGAGTGATTCAGAGTCACATCAAGGAAAAAGAGACGGCAGCTATCATCAGACACGGCGGATCCAGATGTTCCATTCATGTCGGATGATCCTGGTGAGCTCTGCTGCCCCGTCCTGCGCTGTTTGTTTTGCTGGATGGGCTGTTTACGTTCTGCTCTATTATTATTATTAGCCTATTGATCGCTTCGCATATCGTCACTATCTAACATTTTCGTCATAGTTTTTGTCATTCAAACCTAGTTTTTATTTAGTTATCGTCTCGTTTTCGTCTTTGAAAAAATGTGGTTGACGAAAATAATTATGAAAATTATTCGTCAATGAAATAAACACCGTTTTGAATCTAACGGTCAAAAGGACCGTTTGTGGCCGTTCTAGTAGTTTTGGAATTCTGGCACTTCTAGTGTTAAAATCAGCATGGTTGGAAACAACAACTTGTGTGTGTGCTTTTTATATTAAGACCCTCTTCATAACTCCTGCTTTGGCTGTTAATGTTTACATGTAAAGTGGGGTGTCTCTGTGCTTTAACCTTTGTAGACCTCTGTACCTGCAGGTGAACTGAAGCTTCCTGTTGCGGCTACAGCGACGTGCACACTTTCCCACGCTCATCTTGCGGCTTTTGGACATATAGGACACATCAGGTGGCGTGGCCAGGCGCACGGCATCAGTCTTCTGGTAGTCTTGCAGGGCATGCCTCTTAGTTTCTGTCACACAGATCATACATGTTAGGATGGGGATAAGCAGTAGTTGAATCCTAACATGAATTTCATGACAGATGGTGCGTTATCAGTTAAGGCTGATCATAAGCCTCATTGGAGAGCAGAGTGTCCATAAAATAGAAATTAAAATATGGAGAAACAAAGGAACTAAGATGACGAAATTGTATTTCAACAACCTGCTTAGATTACAGTAAGAATGGGAAAATCTAAATGTTTCCATAATCGACTAGACAGTTGGATGTCTGAATAACTAGTCAACAAGTCTGCAACAAATCAACAAGTCTCATTTTACTATAATTTACTCACCTTCAAAAGATTTTAAACCCGAAGGCATTTATTTCTTCATGCAGAACACAAAAGACATTCTGACGAACGACTTTCATTGAATGGACAAAATAATTAATCAAACAACCAAACAGAAAAACACAGTTTTCCAAAAATCCCTTTTGTATTCCACAGAACGAAAATGTCAGAGATTTTGAAATACAGGAGGGTGAGTAAATGATGACACATTTTTCGCTTTTTGGTGAACTTTCCTTTTAAGGAAACCTGTAATTTATATGGTCTCAAGTCTAAATGACCCTGGTCAGACTAAACTAAATCAGCTTTACTACTGTGACTGTTAGCATGCTTAAGCTCTCTGAGAAGTTGCATCTCAATTATATGAGAACTGCAACAACCTACTACTAGTGAGGTTACTAATCGACTACTCAATTGTGAGGCAATTATCCTCCATGGGCATCCTGGATCAGTTGCAGTGGCAGTGAAGCAATAAATTAGCTTTTTGATAGGGCTTTCATTTTATTTCAAGATTATTTCTGAGTGTATAACAGGATGAAGGCATCAATCCCAGTTTGCTTTGGTGAAGTAGTGGAGGGCCAAATGAAACTGGCTCTCACCAAACCTTCTAAAACCACCACAAGAGCCTATACATGCCAGCTGTAGTCATAAGAAGTGAGTTATCTTTCAAGCACATTGTTAGAAAGCATATATTTCACAGCCACAAACCACATTGTAAGATCGATCATACATGTTTTTGGATGTAAAACAAGCCCTCAATACTGAAGTAGACCAACCAAGGGACATTACTCTCCATCTAAGCTCTAAAACTGACCAACAGTCATGGTCTTAGAAGACTCCAACTCTTGATTAGCTCTGAATATCAAAAGAAAATGAGACTGTATGGAACAACAAGCAAGATTTCCAGTTTCTCAGTGCACTCAGGGTCAACTCACAATATTATAGACAAGGACATGTTTATAGAATATCAAAATAGCCATAGCAGTTTGATAGAAGTAAAGCATTCCAAATGTATAATGTAGGCATATTATAATGCATGGAAAACAACAGGATAACTGAATGACTCAGAACATCTAAACAAAGGTTGTATTTATACAGAATGTAAAAAATCAATAAACTCTATGATCTAAACTCAAAACAACTAAAGGCCACATTGATTCTTCAATGTCACAGATCGTATTGCAGATTAGAAACAAAATGACTAAACTCGAGTCGGAAAAATTAATATGCTTTGCGCAATAAAGCGGTTTTGATTTCAGAAGAAGAGTTTTATAGTACCACACTCTAACACTAATCTCTCACTTCAACTTGACGCACACTGTTGGTGACTCATTTATCCAGATGTTTTGGGAAGAAACAGCCCACTCACCATGAATGTCAACATATGTGAAGTTTTCCGTAGTGAAACGTAATACAATGTTTGGTAACATCACAATCACAACCATGCTACTGGTCTGCATACTGTTAGCATTGCCAAATCAAAGCCATGATTCCGTAAAAAAACTATTTGTTTCATATTGTTTAAAGACCATGTGAAACAGAAGTTGTGACCAACTTTAATAATTAGGCATATTTCCAGGGAAAAGTAATATTGAGTGGAAAAAAATAAAGGGAGGGGCTTGATTTTAGTGCACCTCCTCCTTTGGTTGAAGGGGACTGTTTATAATGTTCTGCCCAAGATGCCAAACTGACATCAACAGAGGAGTGGAAGAACATTATCCAATTTTGACTTCTCTGTAAATTAACTTGCATGGGCTATTGTTTACCACATATCAAGTGATAGAGTAGAGTAATTTAGATTTCATTCAGACTTTCAATATTTTGACAATGCAGTAGAAATTGACATGCTTGCATAATAGGCTACAATATAAAAATGTGAAATAACACGTTTCATTATTTGTATTATATATATATATATATACACATATTATATATATATCAAATAAAAGATTGTGTAACAAACCTCTAGATTCACCCAAAAAGTGTTTATGGGTCTATAGGCTGTTGTTGATTTGAAAGTAACAGGGTGAAAATTTTGTGTCAACCAAATGATTTTGTTTAAAATGTTTCTATGTGTAAATGTAACAATAAAACAATAAATCAGTGACCTTAATCTGTATGACGACTTCTATAGCTATGTTCCTTTCATGAAACAAACATATTTAGGCTGTACGTTAATTTGGCGAAGCCCAAAAGCCACCAAATAATGACACTTAGCATCAGGTAAGATGGTCATCTCCAAAACCCTGGTACAAAAAATAACCATGCCATATTAGTTGCGATACTGTTAAACATGATGCAGCGATTACTTTAAAAAAAACATGACGCAGATATTACCGAAAAAAAAAAAAACTATACATGATATCTATAAAGAACCTCTGAAAAAACAAAAAAAAACTTACCTGAGTAAACTAAAACAGCCACACATATCAAAATTTTGTAAATCCACATGTTGCTTTAAATAGTTTTATGCGACTCCAAAAATACAAAAGAGATGTCAAGTCTCGGCGTTTTCCTCCTTTTAAAACGACTATTAGCAAGATTCTAGTCTACCAGCAGTTGCTGTTGCTGCTCTTGTGTACAGTGAACAAGCGCGCGATGAACTGACTGAAGATGAGCGCGAGCTGAGACTCTACCTCACGCGCTCCCTCCCCTTTCCCTCGGTCCATTTAAAGTCGCCCCGCCACTGTCCACTCCTCCACATAATATTATCACATATTATCGCATTTCCTGATAGACACCGAGGTTGTTGAACCAATCCGGGAAGTAAAATAAATGCAAATTGTTTATATTTGTTGCCGCTCTAATTTATTGGAGCGGATGGAAAGTGTTAAGGAGATGTCAACACAGCTGTGTGATGCACTAACCTCCCTGAGGGTGTTTGGGAGTAAAGTTGTGAATTGATAAACTCTGGGCCACTCACTTGTTTTAGTTTGCTAGATGTGATAGCTTATTTTATATTTCGTTATCGGACCGCAACCCTCTTAGCCATGATATAAAGAAATTATTAATCATGTTGTTCACTTTATCATTCACAATATGCTATAATTTCACTGCCTTGCAAAAATTTTGCAGGGACAACCATAGTTTCAGCCACATGCGGTCTGCTTAAAAAAATTGAACAATGAGATGAGAATATGTCAATGAGAATGAGAATATCAATATCAATGAGAAATATATATATATATATATATATATATATATATATATATATAGTTTAGCCATGAAAATCTAATCGCGTTCGGATTAGTTTATGAAATATAGGCCTAATGTCCCCAGCCAAATGATTTCAAGTATTCATAATCATATAACCTTGAAGCATCAAATGAATACGTATTGCTGCGTGCTATGCAGGTTCTCTTTCTATTCTTCTACCTCCCCAGCACCACCTGCCTAGATCTTCAGGGGTTTCCCTCTATGATGGATGAATGAATGAATGAATGAATGAATGAATGAATGAATGAATGAATGAATGAATGAATGAATGAACGAATGAACGAATGAACGCAATGACATATTGCCTACTGCAATGGTACTGCAGCAGAAACAAGTTATAACTTTTAAATTATCGTTTCACTTTATCATTCACAAACATTTAGCTGTTGTTCCTGTAATTTGTGGATTCATACTGACAGGCAACACATAAAAATTTTAGATGAATATTCAAAGAACAACTACACAACATATTAAGCCTTATACATTTTGTCCTAAGAAGATTACGATATTGATGTCCAACAACGAACATAACTCTTCTTTCTGTGTCACGAATTTCAGACCAAATAGAGGGGGAGAGAGAGGGATAAGAGCAGGTTGGAAGCATGAGTTGTTTATTAAACAGTACTACACTCAAGATGCTCTTCTCTTCTCTTGGAACAGAAAGAGCTCTTCTATTGTGCTCTCTGATGGAAATACACTCCATCTGTTTATTTGTGATGTGCTCATACTCAAACAGGTATTCCAGGCTGTTTTGCTTTTGGATGCACTGGAGTTTTTTTTTTTTTTTTTTTTTCTTTTTTTTTCAAATATCAATTATTCACTCCGATTGGCACACTTTTGTATGGCTGGTTGTTTATCCGTTTTGAGTTTGTATTAGTTTACTTAGTAGATTGAATATTAATCATTCACTCAGTTTGGCATGCATTTGTACGGATGGTTGTTTAGCCGTACTGTGATTGTATTAGTTTAGTTAGCAGTAGTGTTTATGTGAGTGTCCTCCATGACTCTGTGATCGTGTTTGCTTCTCCTCCCTCTGATGATGGAGGTACAAACAACAAATGCCAACTGACATGCCTGACGGCCCCATGGGAGTTATCAATCACTGTGTGCGTGTATCTAATACTGTTTCCAGCATTGTCATTCCACATCCTGTCCTCTCATCTCTCAACACCTCTGGGTGAATCTCACAACATGTCCAGATCACATTTCACCAATAAACTTAAAAGATATACATACAACATTATATTTTGTATAATGACAAGGAGGCCTACTTAAGATTGTTGACAATATTTCCAAGACAAGTAAGCATATTATCCAAAAATTCCCATTAAATGAATGTGCCAGGATATTTTTGCCCCATTATTCCTAAATGTGATTCTCATATTCCCATTACTTACTGTGATTTAAAATATTGCAATAGACTTATATACACTTCAATTCGAATGTTTGAGTTTAATTTTCTTTAAAGAAAATCAATACTTTTAATCAGCAATGTTTCTCTGAATTGATCAAAAGACACAATGAATACATTTATAAACATTTTTAAACATTATATGCTTCCTCAGCTGTCACATCATGTCCAAACAAATGACTTCTGGTTGCTTTGATACAGCAAATTCCTTTCAGTGTGAATGCTCTTTCACTCATCTACTCTTCCTGAAGTCTTCTGTCTATCTCCTTCTCTGACAGCATCTGAGTGACTCTCTACAACTCAAAAACAATGCAACAACATGGATCAAAACGTCAGGAGCCCTATGGTTTGTGTAAAGAGGTTTCAAACCATCATAACTAAGAGCAGATGCATGCAGATTGCAAAAGCTGACATCTAAAGAATCCCACCGTTGAAGTCAGAATCACGGGATCTGTGGTCAACCAGGCATTTAAGTTTGGAAAAATTGCACCCAACACATGTGTGGCGATAAATTAAGAAGCATGCATAAGCAGACATTAATAGGCTATGAGCAAAGACATTGATCATATTGGGAATTTAACATGGAATTCAATTCACAGCCACATCAGTCAATAAGAACAGCAAATTCCATGATGAATTCAGGGTGAGAACCGCACATCTAAAGGTCACTTTCATTCTTCAAGGAAGAAGTTTTGAAAACGTTCCTTAATTACAGGGAAACTTAATAAATTTTCCATGTGGTATCTGTTACTCCATTTTGACAGCACAAAGGTACAGCTGTGATTCCCACATAACATGATGTGAAAGTGAATTGTGTGAATCATATTCATAATCTGTTGAACTTTCAACAGTCTTGATATCTGGATCAGAACACAAACATCGATTTCATCACATGTGGTTTGGTCTATGTGTTTAGCCCTTGTTCCCACAAATAAACAAACCAACAGACTAATTCGCTCTGTTGTGTGTCTGGTGTCTAACGAAGACCATGTGCAGTGAACACAAACATATAATGAGTCATTCACTGTGGTGCTGATGTGGTAAAGATGTAAGCAGCTACAGACAATAATCTAATGCACCTTTCAGTCAACACAGGGATGTGTTATTGCTGCGCTGCTGCTGCTGATAACAGATAATTATGCACAAGTTTGGTCAACATTGCAGCTTATCTTGGCTAAAATGGTCTGGTTAAATGGTAAAATCTCAGGAAACCATTATGTCCAAATTCTTTCTTTCTTTCTTTCTTTCTTTCTTTCTTTCTTTCTTTCTTTCTTTCTTTCTTTCTTTCTTTCTTTCTTTCTTTCTTTCTTTCTTTCTTTCTTTCTTTCTTTCTTTCTTTCTTTCTTTGTGTGTCTATCTGTATCTAAACTTTGAGGCTTTTAAAAATTTTTTTTTTGGTCATTCTTTTTAAATGAAAGATATTTCTTTGCATTCCAATTTAACTTTTATTTTCCTTATATTCAAATTCTGCTAGAATCTGCAATTTTGAAAAGGCATACGAAATTCAATTCTGGATGCCGCTAAAATATATTTTAAATATTGGATGACATGTACCTTGCAAACTTTGGCAAATTTAGTGTTGCAGTTTAATATCTTGAAACATGACAGACTGATTCAAACCTGGAAGTTTGATAATGTTGGCCAATCAAACTGATGTTTCGGGAATTCTCAGTTTGATAAATTTCTTTATGTATTAGATGGTCTGTGAATGGTCAGTATAGAGTGCCACTTGAAGTTAGTGCTATACACACACACTCACACACATACACGCACACGCAGACAGAGAGAGACACACATACACACTGCTACTACAAGTGGAAAACAAGGCAGTCTTTGGCGATAGAATGATGATGGTATTAAAGGTCCCCTGACATAGGGTTATTTTATTATTTTATAATGTTTCCTGGGTTGCCCTTATAATGTTAGTATTTTTCAGATCAAAAATAGTCATAATTTAGAAATAAAAGGCATTTTTCCTTACCTGATTTTAGCCGATTTGAACCCTCTGTTTGAAGGGGCGTGTCTGCTATGGAATTCAGTGTGACCGCCCACTGCTGTGATTGGCTGACATGCTTGCATATGAAATAGCTACATATTACATGTGAAACTCTCTCGAATACTTTTACTACAGCTATTATATGTTTTTTTTTTTTTTACTACAGCTATCGAGATTAACAAATCGTGAGGAGTTTTAAAAGTATAAAGTATAATTTAAAATATTTTGCCGTGATGAGCATTGAGCAAGCAAACAGTCAGTAGTTCACGACATTGAAGATCTTATCATTGCTAAGCAGTTTCTGCTATAATCTGTAATGCTTTCATCAATGCAAACACGATGATGTACATACAGTAAGAGCTTCGTTGTGCAGTGAAACGTGTGTTATTTATTTCATATCGAGTTGTCCGAGTTGTTGTTCTTTGATCACTTTCTCTATATAATTTGATTAAATAAGATTACTTTCATCCTACTAAAAGAAACGATGTGAGGTTGATATTTTAGTCACTGGCTTGACTTATGCATAAACAGTATTGAATGATTTTGAGAAAAATTACCTGTCTGAACTAGTCTACACATCAGAAACTGTTGCTTGCTAGCTTGATCGATTTATTCGAGTCAGACCACCAAGGCCAGTTGGCCCAAGTTGAGGAAAAAGTCCTCGGTGAAATGTTTGGACCATTTCCAGAAAAAAATAAAATTAATTCATTGTTTCTTCAGAGGCTCGGATGAAGGAACTAAAAAATACTTTAGTGTTCATTTGTACATCCGAACACTGATCACCTGCCATGCTTCGTTTGTTTGCTATATCTCTCGAGGAAAAACTCAAATCGCGCACGCGAGTTCGTACTTCCTAGCTCATTTTCTCATGGGTGAGCCAAATTCTCTGGATGGGCAAAGCAGAGAAAGGGGACGTTACCATTCCTCCGGTTCGTATGACCGCATAGATGAGATTGAAGATCAGTCTGAGCTTTCATTTTCTCAAAGG